GAAGTGGGTGTGAAAGAAATGGAGGCTCATGTGGAGAGCATTGTTACTGTGCCAGAGCCTACTGTTACAGCTGAGGAGAAGGTGATTGTGTCGGAGTCTACTGTGCCGGAAGAGACTGAAAATGAGAGCTCAGGATATGGATCGTATGAGACCGACAATGGATCGGGGGAGGATGACCTGGGCCAGACAGATATCGCGGACTTTGATGAAGTTTATATGGATGGTAAGGTTTTTATGATTAGGAAAGATGCTAATGTGAACAGAAATAGAATGATAAGGAGAATTCCAAGTTTAAGTTGGGAGGAAACATTTGCTAAAAAGAAGATTGCTCTTCTAAATCTTTTTGAGGGTAGGACAAATGGGAAGAAAAAGAAAAAAGGACGGACTGGTAAAAAATAACCTTCTGTCTTTGCACGGAGGAAGTATAATGTTATTTTTGGGTGTTTTATATATATACTTACATTTCATCCAAAAAAAAGAATCCGATGAAGGAGGGGTGATAGGTGGAGAGGAATTATTTTAGAAAGGGATGAATGGGGGAGGGGTGCCCGGATGATAAAAAGTCTACGGAGACTAATAAAATTTATAAATAGGATTATCATTATTTTATTCTTAAAATTAGACTCATTTATTATTATTTTGGTAATTTTTAATCAGCTTATTTTTTAATAGGATTGAATAAGTCTATTTGGAGAATAAAATAAACTACCTATTGCTTTCTAAAAAATAAACAAACTACCTATGGAAAGAAGTTCTTGCTTTTCTTTTATGGATGCCTCAAAAATAAGTTTCTATTTTTATAAAAGGAAACTACTTTAGAATACTCCGTATATTCAATTTCTATATTAAGGAATTTATATAGTACATATGAAGTATATTTTATACTCAAAAGGTTGTAAGGCGTAGTGCTTAGGTTTTATACTCTTGAGGCACAATTCTATAGTATCTACAGTTTAGAAGTGAGTATAATTAGGAAATTTAAATACGTTTAGTTAAGAAAACTAATACGGTGTCATTGTTATTTTGTAGATAAGGATAATACAGAGGAGGAGCTATAAACGAAGTAGCTCTTATTGGAAAAGTAACTTTGGAAACTCAATTTTCTCATTGTGACTTTGTGATTAAAAAAAGTGATATGATGTTTTATATTTTTGGTTATCTAGATTAATGTCGTTAAGTGGTACAAGGGTTTTGATGTTACTTAATTTGAATTTTCATCTCCACACATGATTTATTTTACACATGGAATTGTCTCATTTTACTCCATATTTTACAATTTCCTCACTTCATAACGCTTTATAATAAAACATATTAATAACTATTGAAGAAAATGTCTCAAATCGTGCATCCCTACACCGTGCATCGCACGGGTGAGTTACTAGTTTTTTAATATACACGTTCCATCTTGTAATAACAAGTTGTTGGGGGCAAGAGTAGTGATTAATTGGGGGGACTTTATATTTAGCAAAGAAGAATTATTTACATTTTTCCTACTCTAGCTTAATCAATTATGAAAATATTATTGGGGGCATGTGCCCCCTTTCCTACTAAGCTCCATCCACCCCTGTCATCTAGGCAAAAATAAGCGACAGAGGGGGTTGTAGATCCAAAAAGAATAACAGATAAAGCATTTTGACATGAATATCACAGTAGAAGTGAATAATGTTTTTGTTTTTAATTTAAAAAAAATGTGACTAATGAGCATTTCACATTGTACACCTATTCCCAAAGACCATTATTTCCGCCCAATGTGACCACCACGGATCGGTGACTACCTGTTCATAATGACCATTGCAAGTGAGTTACAATCACAAAATTAAATATAATTCCTTTTAATTTTCTAAACTCTCAAACAAGATAGAAGAGTCATAAATCCTCCTAACAGAAGCAGGACAGACGACGTCGTCGGGCAGGGAGGGTCCTAAGAGCATCTTCAGCGGTTAGCTAATTGCCCTCTTAGCTTAACTAGCCACGTAAGCTTTTGTAGCAAAATTGAAATATACAATAATGGTTAGCTATAATCTTTTCCTCTTCATTTATTATTTATAATGTTATATTTAATATTCTCCTTGCTCAATCTAGTAGCTCATTTAGGCTAATTAGCTTTCCCAAGCAAAAGGAAGAACAATGCTCCAATGGTAAGCTAGTAACTTCAAAATTGCAAGCAAGTCCCTAGAAGCAATCATTGGAGATGCTCTAAGCTTCCTCTCAAACTCTCGCAACGTTAATTTGGTACGTTGCACTTACCGGCTTACTATATATTTTTAGTCCTTATATCTGTTTTCTTTTAATTAGTTATTTTTGTAGTTTTTTACTTATTTGTACAATAATACACTATCTTTGTAGGGAGTAACTAATTATGCCGAGTAGTATTAAGGGTTGGTTTGCAACTCCTTTTAAAAAAGCACTTCTCAGCTTTTGGCTTTAAAAAAGTACTTATTTTCCCAAACACTATAACTTTTATTTTTCTCGGCTTCCGCGTCAAAAGTGCTTTTACTTTTTCAATTACACAAAAGCACTTATTTTACCAAACACTACCCACTTTTACTTTTCAAAATCACTTTTTTCTCAAACACTATCAACTTTTATTTAATCACTTCACCTCATTTCATTAAAAAAAATACTTTTTTAAAAGCAGAAGCTGTTGCAAACAGACTTTAAGCGGTTCCGATTTACCCACTATATCTTTGTAATATTCTCTAGACTGAAGTACAAGACAACTTATGTATTCTTTTTCAAAGTTTTGAGTGTACTTTTTTACGTTTTTCATATTTATCCGCCCCACTATATTTCAAGTGCGCCACAAGGAAGATTCTCAGGAAGACTTGGGCGCCGCAAGGAAGATTCCAAGTTTTCATAATTACCCGGTTTGGAAAACTGGGAATCTTCCTTGAGGATCCCACTCCTGATTTTTCGTTTTATGTAGCCAATACTTTATAATTGCATACATATTACATCAAATATGCATGTATGCTATATAGGAGTAAGTTTCATTTAAGAATATTACTTAGTACTTAATTAAATGAAAATGATATGACAAGAAATGGTCCAATCCAACTGGTCGCTGTTTTAACCAAAAAACTACTCTACAAATTGTTGTATACGAGATGAATTCAAAAAGTGATATGGGTAACGTACAAGAACTAATGAATAAAATATACTCCCTCCGTTCCTAAAAGAACTTCCAACTTTCCCTTTTCGTCCGTCCTAAAAAGAACTTCACTTTCCCTTTTTGGCAAAGAATTTGTGGTTCACAACATTTCTCTCTCCTCTGCACAACTCTCCACCACACAATTCCCACTTTCTTAATCAGCGTGCCACTTTATTTAGGAAGAACATTTAGGGACGGAGGTAGTACTAATCAATCTCTTAGCATGAATCACAATAGTGGGAATAAAATATAGTAATTATGGAGTAATAATTAAGCTCTCAATATGAACCACAATAATATGATGGGAATAAACTAGCTAGAGTTATTTAATTGTTGATGGGATGGATCTCCTCTACTCAAGCTATACTACGTATTTATAATAGTAAGGATGATCATCTCCACTTGAGCAGCTAGTAATCCTCTGGCTAATTAGCCTTTATCAGTGGCGGACCCAGAAAAACAAAGCCACAGGGTCCCCAGTATAACATTTTTAATTATTATAAATTAATTAAACAAAATAAAATGTTAAAGAAGCATAACGTTTTATAATCCGTACATCATAAAAAAAAATTAGATAATGTAACGCAAAAAATTAAATATAAAAGGGAAATCATGATTGTGAGGTTGAAACTGCCCTTTTTTAAGGTAACTACGGCGTAACTTTTCTTGAAAATCAGGATGAAAATCGGCAATTTTTTTCCTAATCCAGGATCAGCTTCCAAAGATTCAACATGTTGTTTATGTAGATTCAAATTAGCTTCACTTTTAGAAATTACTTAATCTAATTCTTCATTTGCTAGTAGTGAATCATTTGAATTAACATCTGAACTACTCCCAGTATTCCGAATTTCCTTATATATGGGTACAATACCGAAATATCTTTTCATCCTAAATCGTAAAATATTGAAAAAATATTCATAATAAATACATAAATTTATTGATTTAATCTTAACTTTAAAAAAAATATTGATTTAATCTTAACTTTAAAGAAAATTTAATAATTAATCTAAAAATGAATTTTGCAAAGGTCAAAGGAGTGAGTGGAGTCCCGTAATGGGAGAGGCAGTAACGAATTAACTAATAGCTATGGCCTATGGATGCTGTGGTCTGTTACTAGCAAGTTTAAAAAATAAACCGATGAAAAATTGTGAGGAAGGAATCGAACCCAGAATCCTCTGCATGAAGATAAGTATCGCGCGCTACCGCCGCACTGATTTTGTAATTTGGTCATTTTGTTGCCACTACAAAAAAACACGTCTTTAGTCACGGACGTTAGTCACGGATTTCGTCCGTGACTAGCCTAGTCACGGGCTAGTCACGGACTAGTCACGGATTTTTGAAAAAAAAAATTAGTCACGGATTTGGCCGTGACTAGGTCCGTGACTACATAAATCCGTGACTACGAACCGTGACTAAAGTCCTCCGGTTGCCCCAACTCCGTCGCCGGTAAGCACGTTTTTATTCCGGCGACTTAGTCACGGATTTATCCGTGACTACGTCCGTGACTAAAAAAAATTAAATTTCTAGTGCTCAAAATTAATTTCTCAAAATTTAGTCACGGAAAATTCCGTGACTAGGTCCGTGACTAGGTTCTTTATATAACTGAACCACACCAATTCATTCCATGTATATATAATACAGGTCACACCAATTCATTCCATGTATATATAATACAGTATCTGTTTGAAAGATCGAAGGATGTAGTCCATCTTATGTCATTTTCCCTATTTATGTATATATACATTTATAAATTATTTTTTATATGAAATATATATAATATATATAGGTATTTTTGGAAGTGCATGGGGTCCCGGGACCCCGTGGGACCCTTAGTGGGTCCGCCACTGGCCTTTATCCGTCAAACTCGACAATTAGTTAGCAAAGTCTATCAGTTCGTTCCAATTCTTCCGCTCCAAGCTTCCTATTATTATTTGCTCCTTAAGTTTGTATTTCTTAAGCTCATGGGCCCCACCTTAATTTATTTCGTCGATTATTTCTTGGCCCAACAATTGCCCCCTTTCGAGAAGTTGAAGCGTATGACACACACATCAAGCCGTCGAGCATCAACTTGTCGAAATTTGAAAGAACTTAAACTTACCGTCTTGCCCATCAACTCATCATCTCCCTGACATGTCGTCAACCCGTCACTTGTATGTCGTGACGCTTCCACCAATCTGTCATTTGTCGGGTGAGATGCTTTCTTCAAATCGTCACTTGGCTGGTGAGACATGTCGTCAACCTGTCTAGACGTTTCTATCAACATGTCACTTTCGTTGCAAGTAGTTTTTAGATCGAATTTGTCTCCTTGAGTGAGGTGATGAAGAACGAAGGCTGGTCTCCTGTTATCTTCCTACCAATTTGTGCTAATGATTGTATCTAAGCAATGCTGACGAGTTGAGCCTTCGTTCAGGTTGATGTCGACACTTCGGTTGGCAATTATGATTTTGTCCCTAGTTGTATAAATGATGGGTTTGACTCTGTGAGTGTCAAGGTAACCTGCAAAAACTTTAAACACCGTTTCGTTTGTTGTTTTAGTAATATCGTCGACATGAATATTTATGATTTATGTCTGTGTCGTTTGTATTGTCTCCTTATGTTTTGGAGCTTGTGTTGTCATGCTCTCGGAGCACATGCTTCTGTTGTGTATTTTTTGTAGTTTTGGCCAAAACATTGCGGAGAGTCGGTGGTGTTTATACTCATATTTAACGTACATGAAAACTCCCACTTCTTCCTCTAAAATTCTGTAAGCCTCCCGTCAATTGTGTTTTGACGTGCTGTAAGGCTTTGCTTGATGTAAGCCCCCCGTCAATTGTGTTTTGACGTGTTGTAAGGCTTTGTTGGACATGTGTTAGGACTCTGTCATCATCAATTGTTGATTGCACTTGCGTAAAAAGAATTTGCTAACATCAGTCGTTGGCTAAAAGCCAACGACCCTTCTATGCTTAAGTTAGTGATCACTTATTCCTAAAAGAAAGTAATCAGTTAAGAATACGTAATGAAACTAAATAAATAAATAAATATCGTCAGAACCTGTTTATAGTCAGACGATTTCAATCATCTCGTCTGACGACTTCATCAGGTCTATCATCGAACGACATGCCCCCTGATAACCGCTTTCGCGGCGTTGTAGTAAAACGGAGTCTAACCTTTCGGTTTTTCCCCGAGTGTCGTGTCTCTTGAGGAATGGCGGAGAAGTTTCTTAATTTAATTTTAGTCACGGGCTATCGCTAATTGTTGGAAGCTTTTTCAATATAGGAAAGTGATTTTGTTCTATATTACGCTAAATTATAACTAGGAGCAAGGTGCAATTTAAAGATTAATGTATAAATATTGAATATTCAAGGATGCAAATAAGGGCAATGAATTGAGTAATTAGAAATGGATATGTTCTTGGACCTCTTAATTAGGGAAATTAAAACTAAAATTGGACTAATAATTTCTTTCCTCATAGACAAGAATAGAAACTATCTTCATTAATTTATCCTATTTCTAGGTGTCATTAATGTGTTTAAAATGGTTGGCTTAAATTATTTTCTAAACCCATAGACAAGGTAGAAATAATTTTCCAATATTTTAATTAATAAAAATAGCCAAATTCATTAACTAGTTAAACTCTTTATTTTAGCAATTGAATTTATTTCTCATAGACAAGATGTAAATCCTTTTCATTAAATTATCCTATTTCTAGGCCTTATTAATGTGCTCAAATATGGTTGGTTTAAATTAATTTCTAATCTCATAGACAAGTTAGAATTAATTTTCCAAGAATTTAATTAATGAATATGGCTAACTATTATTAATTACTATTTCATCATTTCAAACAACTAGTCCAATTTATTAATTTTAACCCCTAATTTTAGGTCAACAAGTCAATCCATATTCCTTTTCTCAATTCATGCCCTAACAAATTTAGCTACTCATCACCATTTTTGCAATTAACAATATAATGATTAAGTTCAACTTTAACAAGGAATTAAACATGTATGATAGCAAAAATTAAACAAAAATTATATTCTGGAACAATAAACTTGTAGGAACTAAAATATAATTTTCTGGAATTTTTCACCAATTTTTGAACCTAAAATCCAATTTTTGACAACTAATTGATAATTTTCCCAATTTTAACTAGAAAATGCAAAAAGCAACTAAAAATATGCTAACTTCGTTATAAATTTTATTCTAGCTACTGGGAGTGATATTACTATGAATCAAACTGAAATTAAGGCCGAACTAATTTTTTTTCTATTTTTCTAGTATTTATTCTAAATTATGAACTAATCTCAAATAATTACCAAAATTAATTAAAAATTACTTATGCTTCGTGAAAAATTAATTTATTCAGATAAATAACTACCTTGAGGCTAGTGAACAACTATATAATTAATTGGAATGAATTCAACAACAATAACTATTTTATTTAATTTTTGGAAGTAAATGCGAAATACTTGAAAAATAATCTGGAAATTTTCGAAGAACAGATTGAACAAACAAAGTGCAGATTCAGATTCTACTCGTTGAGAAGATGAAAATACATATAAAGAACTTACAATTTGGAGCTAAAATGAAGAAGATATGAAGATTTGAAGTTTCTCTCTCTCTAAACCCTTTGGAGCTCGAAAATGGAGGAAGAAAGAGGGTGTTTTGAACTGATTTAGGGTTGGAAGAGGTGTGTTTGAGATGTAGAAAAAGCCTGCTATTTATAGCAGAAATTTCACCGAAGGCGCCCATGCAGGCGGCCGCCTTCCGGCAGCATCTGGCCGCCTGCCGTCAAGTCGCCGGCAACACGACGTGGCCGGTCCCGTCAGCCGTAGGCGGCCACAGAGGGCGGCCGCCTTCCGTCACACCTTGGCCGCCTGCCGTCTTTTCAGGGTTAAATCGGATCGCGGCGGATCCCGCCGGATCCCGGCCGCCGCAGGCGGTCCAGCAGGCGGCCGCCTGCCGTTCCTGTCTGGCCGCCTGCCGTCAAATCCCACCGGCCGGCGGTTGCTTCGTCGTCTTCTGCCGCAGGCGGTCACCGTAGGCGGCCGCCTTCCGTCCAGTGTCGGCGGCCTACGGTCTTTTCCGAACCCGGTCAAAGTCAAAGTTTGACTTTCCAAAAATACCGTAGGCGGCCGCGAAGGCCTTCATTGTGGCCGCCTGCCCGGCCGCCTGTGACCTAATTTGTCCGGCTTGTTCCTTATTTTGTGCTCTTCAATATTGTCTTCTGGACCACTTTGAAATAATGTCTCCTTCTTTCGGTATGATATCATTTGTTGCTCAAATTGGCTCATTTTGTGCTCAATTGACCCGAAATTCCGACAAACATACGATGAATGTGGTTTTCACCTGATTTCATGAAACTTGAACCAAAATATCTAAAACATGCCTTTTCTTTCTATTTTCAATCAAAAATCGCTTAAATTTGATAAGAAAAATAAGTACAAAAATGGACTTATCACCCCCTGTCCGACGATTTCTATCATGTCGTCTGGTCTACCTTGTTGATAGAGTATATGGGCCTGGACCCCATAGTCCACATACTCAATGGCCCAAAACACACCAGCGGGGCACCCGCATCGGCCAGAGGCATGCAGCGTCCAAGAAAGAAGATATCGCCTGATTTCTACGGACCGCGTCGTCCATGGACCGCGTCGTCCACGAACCGCGTCGTCCATGGACCGCATCGTCCATGGACCGCATCGTCCGGACTTCGTCCGGGCAGAATGTATTTTCCTATTTTTTGTACTAAGTGTTGTACTCAGCCCATTAGTGGCCTTATTCGCCCAAAGAAGGCATGATTATTGTAATGGGCCTCCTAAGCCCAAGGCTAGGGGCCCAAATCTGCATTTTTATCTATAAGTAGACCCCAAGGGGCTAATTATAGGGGATTCTTTTCCATCTTAAGAAATACAATTACCCACACTCTCTCTAGCTCTCACTTCTCTCTAGAATTAATACTCTATCATTTGGTGCTTTCATTGAGAGTCTAGGACAGATCAAGTGAGTACCCTCCGTCGCTACCAGACACTACCACTAGCTATGACAAGGACTAGATCGAAGAACACTGGTAGGAATGCCCCTCTGAACCAGGAAGGGCAGGGAAACGTTGCTGACAACGTCCCCAATGACCTCATCAACCAGGATGAGAACGCCCAGGAGATCGAGCACGCGACGGCTGACCTTCGCGTCCAGCTCAACAAGACTGCCCCAGACGCCCGCATTGGGCTCGAGGACAGGCGCAATGCTGATCGCGCTTCGGGCCAGCAGGCTTCTCACCCTGCTGCCCCCCAGATCAACCCGGCCGCACTATCGGCCATCGTCGCGAGCATTCTCCAGGACCCCAACGTGGTCAGCGCTCTCGTCGCAAAGACAGGGGAGAACAACACTCCGGCAACTGGAGAGGTCGCAACGGTGCCGCCACCGCCACCTCGTCCGCAAGGCGTCACCTTCTTCGGTGACAACGAGGACGTCCTCGCCGTGGACACCCATTCCCACACTGCCTCACCTACCCGGGATACACCGGCTCAACCTCGCGGTAAAATCTCAGCCTTCAACAGGCTGGGTGACATCGCGAGCCGTCGGGTACCTACGGGAGGGGTGGCGGGTCAGTTGGGTGGCCGCGAGCCGGGGTCGCCAAAGGAGAGCTTCGGGTCCGTTTCCCGGACAACGGATCGGCCCCGACCAGACAAAGGCAAAGGAAAGCTGAATGATGATGATGATGCGCGTCACCAGATCAACCTGGCCCACGCGGCCCGGATCCAGACCCCTCTGGGTGGCGCTGCGGCCAACACGGACCCAAGGGACGAGATCATCGCCCGCCTGGAGAAGCGCCTCGCTGATATGGAGGCCCGAGAGGCCGCAGGGCGCGCAGCGGCTCACACATCCCAGCATCCCAACTACGATGCACTCCTGCACAAGGTCAGTGCCTTGGAGAGGGAGTTGGCCGACCGACGCGACGAGCCCGTCATCCAAATACGGACCCGGACCCCCTTCTCTGCGAGGGTGCTCTCCGCTCCCATCCCAGAGAAGTACAAGGGGAATCCGATCAAGCCATATGACGGCCGCACCGATCCTCAGGAGCACTTCACCCGCTATCAGAACAACATGATGATGACCAACGCTTCGGAGGAATACATGTGCCGCTGGTTCCTCTCCACCTTGGAAGGGCCAGCGTATGATTGGTTCAATAACCTTCCAGAAGGGAGCATCGACTCATGGCAGGACCTTGCTCAGCGCTTCCTCACCCACTTTGCCGGGAGGAAGCGTGCGAAGAAGCATTTCGCCCACCTCCTGACCATCAAACAACAATCGGAGGAGACACTCCGAGCCTTCCTCGATCGCTGGACAAGGGAGGCGGACGAATGTGAAGGGGCCGACGAGCGCACTCTCTTGGCTTTCCTCCGCGGAGCACTCCGGCCTAGCCACTTTGCCCGGAGCCTGTTCACGGAGCCGCCGCGGTCATACCTCGCGGCGCTCCGACGCGGAGATAGGCACGCTGATGCCGACGAGCTCCTGAACCAGAAGAAGGGTGGGGAGAAGCAACAAAAGAAGGACTCCTCGTCCAACCCCCACCACCCGCCGGCCAACAAGGGACAGCACCAGCCAAAGAAGGCACATCAGGAGCAAGGCGGACAGCGAAGAGAGGACCGCTCATGGCGCCCAAAGTTGGAGGCACAACGCATCCCCCTCACCCACCCGGTGAGCGTCGTCCTCGACCACGCTGAGGCGCAGGGCCTCATTGTGAAGGACCCCAGGTCAGAGGAGGAGATATTTGCGGTCCACAAGGGAGGGACGTATTGCAAGTACCACCGCCAGACATCCCACAAGACCGAAGATTGCACCACCCTGAAGAGGCACATCGACGGCCTCGTCCGACAGGGGGAACTTTCCCAATTTGTCAAGGGTGCCCCCAAGAGTAACACTTGGGTTAACCCTGGCAAAAGGGGGGAAGGATCCTCCGGGAAAAAGAGGGAGATCGGCGCCCTCAGTGAAGATGAGGACGAAGAAGAACCCCGCCAGAAGAAGCATCACATCCATATCATCGTCGGCGGAAACACAGGGGGGGACTCGGCTACCCAATGAAAAAAATGGGCTCAGTCCCTATACGTTGGTGAGGTGACCCACGCCCCCCCTCAGCCGAAGCGGCGGCATGTGGAAGCCATCACCTTCACCGACAAGGACCTCCCCTTCGGCCCCGTGCCCCACAGGGACGCCCTCGTCGTCAAATGCGAGATTGGCAACAACATCATCCACCGCAACTACATCGACACTGGCAGCTCTGTCAATGTGATGTACATTGACACCTTCAGACAACTGAAATTGAAGAAGTCCGAGCTCCGGCCGATACGGACTCCGTTATCCGGCTTCACCGGGGACTCTATCGACGCCGAGGGCACGATAGTGCTTCCCGTTGTGGTCGGTGATGGTACCTGTCAGGCGAAGATTGACATGGAGTTCGTGGTTGTCAACCTGGACAGCGCCCACAACATGATCTGGGGACGACCGGCCTTGGAGGACCTGGAGGCCATCATCTCCATGAGACACCTATGCCTCAAGTTCCCCACCAAGGACGGCGTCGGCTACGCCAGAGGGAACCAGAAGATAGCCAGGGCTTGCTACCTAAAGCTCACAAGAAAGATCAATGAGGCCGAGGAGCGGATAGACACTATCTCCACCGCCTCGGCCGAAGAAGACACACCAAAGGCTGAACCGGTCGGAGACGTGGAAGACGTTCCGTTGGACGTCTCCCGGCCGGAACGCACGCTGAAGATTGGGACACAGCTCCCCCAACAGATCCGAAGGGACATCCTCTCTGTCCTGAGAGCGTACGCCATTGTCTTCGCATGGGGACCAGAGGACATGCCGGGCATCAGCCCGAAGGTAATCACACATCGGCTATCGGTGAACCCGGCCTCCTCCCCCATCAAGCAGAAGAAGCGCTACCTCTCAGCCGACAGGAGGGAATTTGTCAAAGCCGAGGTGGCCATGCTACTCTCCATCAAGCACATCAAAGAGGTGAAGTACCCCACGTGGTTGGCGAACGTCGTCCTCGCACCAAAGCCGCCTACGTTCAGAATGTGTGTTGATTACACTGACTTGAACAAGGCGTGCCCAATGGACCCATTCCCTCTCCCCAACATTGATCAATTGGTGGATGAGACGGCGGGGTGCGAGTTGATGTCGTTCCTCGACGCGTTCAGAGGGTACCACCAGATATCCATGCACGAAGATGACGCGGAGAAGACCGCTTTTATGACCCCGGAGGGAATTTTTTGCTACCTCGTCATGGCCTTTGGGCTCAAGAACTCCGGCGCCACCTACACAAGGATGGTAGCCCGGATTTTTAGAGCAGTCTTAGGTCGGACGATGGAAGCATACGTCGACGATATGATCGTCAAGAGCAAACAATCCACAACTCATGCCGACGACCTCCGGGACATCTTTGAAATCATGAAGAAGTACAACCTCCGGCTCAACCCGAAGAAGTGCACCTTCGGCGTCCAGGGAGGTAAATTCTTGGGGTACCTGGTCAGCCGAAGGGGCATTGAAGTGAACCCAGAGAAAATACAAGCCATCATCAATATGGAGCCACCCCGCAACATCAAAGAAGTGCAACGGCTGACGGGACGCCTTGCGGCCCTGAACCGTTTCCTTTCAAAATCCGCGGAGAAGTCGCTCCCCTTCTTTCAGATAATGAGAAAGGCCACCAGCTTCAAATGGACGACGGAGTGTCAGCAAGCCTTTGAAGAACTGAAACAATATCTCGCCTCCCCACCCGTCCTATCCAAACCCCAGCCCGGCGAGACTCTCTTCCTCTACTTGGGGGTGAGCACGTCGGCCATTAGCTCCGTACTCATCAGAGAGGACGACGGGGTACAAAAAGCAATATTCTACGTCAGCAAGACGTTGCGGGAGGCCGAGCTCAGGTACTCCCCCATCGAGAAAACGGTACTGGCCATCATCCACACGGTGAAAAAACTTGGACACTACTTCCAGGCTCACCCCGTCCACGTCCTCACGCATCAGCCGTTGGGCGCCCTCATGAGGAGCCCAACTAGCTCTCCAAGGATGATCAAATGGGCGATATTCCTGAGCCAGTACCAGATTGAGATCAAGCCGAGGCCATCCATCAAAGGGCAAGCCTTGG